TTTTCTTTAAAAAAATAAAAAATATTCAGGACTATCAGCTCTTCTTTTCTTTTTTTTCTTCTTATATAAAACACCAGCAAGCAAAAAAAAGTTAGGAATACTGAGGTAACTTTACCCTGAGGTAGGTTTTTTCTTTTTCATTTCTTCTCTAATCTGTTCTAATCTTGGCGAGAGCATCCAGGCATAGACCCCGCCCCTCATTATCATACGCAGGCAGGGTCTGGAGGCTCCGACCACAGGCCTTTGGCAGATTGGGAGAGAGAACGAGGAAGCCGCTCCCCTTTAGACTGATTTTACCCTCTAAACTCGAGGCAAGGAGCTTTGGAAGACTTTTTTGGGTCCCGCGCTTGGCCAAGGCCAGTCTCAAACATTTATTTGAAATGAATACAAGCATTAGAGGCCAATGTTTGTCCAAATGAAGAAAGTTGGCTTTAATGCAGGGATGGTCTTAAGGACCCCAGCTCCTCTGAGGAGAAAGCCATCCTGTCCAAGACTGGCCTTGCGTATCCAGCACTGGAGGAAGGCAATGAGCAGAAAGTCTCAGACACACCTTGTCTGTCTGTCATTGCAGGACTAATTCATACAGGTGTAGCAAATCCTCACACCTGACTTGCTGCCTTTAATACATTCACCCGAGGGGCCGGGCTAACTCACATATCATATATATATAATATATATAAAATATGCCGTTTAAGGTGCGGGCCGCTAGCCACCTAGCATAGCTGCTGGCTGTTTTTATAAAGTTGTTTTATAATGGTTTCACATGTGTGAGCTAAGCCGCTGCAATAGAACTGCAGGACCAGCTGCGACCTCCGCTCCCCTTACTGTCTCTTGCTGCGCCTTCCGCCACACGGCTAATCGTGGAAGGGGGAGCTCAGTGCCTCCCCAGCCCCGGCCTCGTAGTAGGCTACATTATGCTTCATAGGCAAGGGACTGGGAAATATACAGAAGACCCCTTTGTAAAAAAAAGGCAAGGCGGCCAGACACAGCATTTCTTAACATTTACATGAAGATTATATATTTACAACCTCATATTTTCTCCTTTTTTCTTTTTTTCTTCTAATCCCTCCGCTATTCGGAGAGGTCTTTAAAGAGCAGTGTTAACATCTGCGGCCCCTCTTCTAGACTCTCATTGGCTAGGAGGTTAGGGGTGGGTAGGGCTAATGCCAGACCCGTAACCTATCCCCCTGCACCGCTGCAGCAGTTTCCCTGCTCCCTCTCCCGGCTCCGCCACACTGCATTCTATCAATAATAGCTCTGAATAAAACATTTCTATACATATATCTCTATGTTTAAAAAAACCACCCTTAAAATATAGGACTGACTGCAGATGGTTGGAGAGGTCCGTAAAGGGCGACAGAGGAACAAACGGGCCCCTGCTAGTGTGTCTCAGGAAACAAATATTTGTCTAGCCAGCCTCTCCCCTCTGCAGTAGACCTGAACCCATGTGGACAGGTGGAAACAACAGCAGTAAGGCTCCATCCTTACAAGGAGAGTAATGTCGGCCATATTGTTTAAACCTGTCTGATGCACGATCTGTTAAAGCTGCAGCAGATGAGAAGCTGGCTGCAGCCCTAGCAAGGCACACTAGGAGGACGCCGCCCCTTCCTCTCTCCATCCGTCCATTCCTTCATCCCTCCATCCTCAATCAGTCTCTCTTCTAGCCTGGCATCTGGTTTCTGTTCTCAAGTTTCTTTTTATCTTAATCCTCTTTTTATTCATTTCAGCTTTTGATTTTATTAATCTTCTCTTCCTCTCTAAACGCCAATCTTTCTCACTGGCTATCGGGCGTACTACCTCCCTCTTTATATCTCTCCCTATCTATCGCTGGGTCCGTGTGTCGCTCTCCTGTATCCGTCCGTCCGTCTGTCTATCCGTCCGTGCATTTGTCTGTCTGTCTGTCTGTCCGTCAGGCAGGGGGGCCAACGGCATGTAAGGAGGGTTCTGGGACCCTCACTTCCTGCGCGGCTGGTGGTCCTGAGACAGTCCCTGTGTAGGGCTGCCCATCTCTGTGAAGCCCTGGGGGTTAGGGCCAGAGCCCGAGCCCATGCCGCCTTTCTGTGGCTGTTTGACCTGGGTCAGGATGTCCCGGATCTTCCTCTGAGCCAACTGGAGGACAGAGGAGAGATGAGAATGGTTTGTGGCAAATTGAAATCTGGACCAGTCAGGCTCTGTGAGTAATTAGTAGTTATATTTCTATCTATCCCAGCACCAAACCTAGACAAAGTTAGCAACTAGCTGGTGAAGCTAAAGAGACAGATATTTTTAATGTTGATGGAGAGTAAACCAGAGCTAAAAGGAGAGTGAATAGTGGACCTATATTTGTCAGAAAGAATGCAAGCCACAGATGAGCCCTATTTGCCATATCAACCTTATATGATAATATGTCAGTGGTGTATTTACAGCTTGTGTTAGTGGCAAAACAATTATGTTTAAGTTGGAG